GAAGCAAAAAGAGTTAACCATGAGAGTAAGAAAACCATTTGGAAACAATCGAATTCTTTACAAAGATTTTGAGGTATTAGACGAGTCTAACAAAAGAAAAAGAAAATCCCGAGCTCTACCAGCTAGAAAAAGACTAGTACAAGACATCATCAATGAAAATCCTCAACCCGTACCCCAAGCCAATGATCCTCCAAGCCACACTCATACTTCTAGCCACAATCCCAATCCAAGCCATACTCATACATCCAGTCACGAACACAACCTAAGCAAAACTCACACCTCAAGTCTTAACCAAAATAATGTCCCCAACAACCCAACCTCTCGGGTAGAATCCATGGAAGAAGCTCAAAGTGAGATCATATGTCAATTTGATGGGTTAGACTCGGTTTTGGTGAGTGAATACCAAAGAGTTTTAAATTGGAGAGATTGGAGACTTGATATATATCAAGAGTTGATGTCACGCGGACCTAGCATGGAGAATGAAGAAATTTTTGCTTTAAATTGGATTGATTATCATATTGTTTCTCAAGCCACAAGAATTTCAGTTATTAATGCTACATTTTTAGCCAAACTGAAAGCAAATATGGCCGAGCATGTTCAAGTCACACTACAAGAAAAATTGCAATTCGCGACGGAAAAATTCCGTCGCGAAAGCGTGAAATTCCGTTGCAAAACACGTTTTGCGACGGAATTTTTCATTTTCGCGACGGAATCTATTCCGTAGTCTCAAGGCTTGTCGTCTTTCATTTCGTGGCGGAAATAATCCGTCGCGAGTGATGGCGACGGAATTGTTCGTCGTGAAGTAGGCGACGGAAGTCATTCCGTCGCGAGTCCATCGTGATTTTGGAAACGGAAATGTTTCTTTCTGTCGCCATTGCATGAAAAAATATTCCGTCGCAAAACTCATATTCCGTTGCATATTTCTGTCATAAAATATAACGACGGAAATAATTATTATCGCGAATCTGTCGCTAACATTTCCGTTACAAATTTTTTATTCCATCATAAAATTTCGTCTTAAAAAAACATCGAAACAAATTGTCGTCACTATTCCGTTGCAAATGTTATCTTCTGTCGCACAAATTCGTCGTAAGAAAAAAATTCCCGTAATAATTCCATCGCTAGATATTCCGTCGCACAATTATGCAAAAATTTTTTTTTAATATTTTTGTAATTATTATTATTTTATTAAAATTTTAATATTTGTATTTAAAATGTTAATGTGCAAACTAAAATACAATATAATTTGTTATACTTAATACCAAAGTGATGTATAAACAACAATATAGTAATTAATAAAACGAGGCTTTCTCATCTCTCTCTAGAATTCTAGGGTTTTCTCTCCACTACTAGGGTTTTTCCTAGGTTTTCCCTACAATTCCTTTTAATTTTCTACGGCGAGTCTCGGCCGATTGTTTGCGAAGGAGTATTAAGAAGCGGTGGGCGGTGTGGCTATCTACTGCATGCATGGCGACGCTGAACGAGGAAGGCGTGGTGCAGGGTATGACGAGATGGTGGGCAGATTTGGCGTTAGAGGAAGAGGAAGCAGCGCGATTCGAGCCAGTGCTAGATGACAGTGAGCTAGGAGTCACTGGCGGACGCAAGGCAGACATGGCCGTTGGTCGGGCGATTCTTGACACGCAAGCTAGTCAAGTTGGAAATCATGCGGGAAGTCCTGGCTTCGGTATGGCAACCGATCCAGGATGTCCAGGTAACAGAAATCCAACCACGTCTGTTCCTGTTTGTTTTCTTCCATAAAACGGATATGGAACGTGTTCTGGATGATGGGCGCTGGGCGTATGAGAATGCAACCCTAGTTTGTAAGCAAGTCATTGATGGTAAGCTACCAGAGGATGTGGTTTTGGATACGGTTGATATGTGGTTACAGGTACATGGGTTGCTTACGGGACATACTTCGGACAAGATTCTTGAGCAAATTGGTAACTATCTTGGCACTTTTGTTAAATGTGATGACCGTTTTGTGATTGTGCCGTGGAAAGCTTTCTATCGTATTCGGGTGGCTATCCCTGTGGACAAACCTATCAAGAGGCGTATGAATTTTGTTAAACGTGACAAGTCTACATGCTGGGTCTCGTTCAAATATGAGCGTTTACACAATTTCTGCTTTTATTGCGGACTCTTGGGGCATTTATACAAATTCTGTATTCATGCACGGAATGCTACTCTTTCGGTAGAGCAATATCCTTTTTCAGTAGATTTAAGGGCAGGGTTGAGGAGAGGACCGAGAGCTGTTGGGGAAGGGTGGTTGGTGCCGGCTGAAGGAAAGGGAGTTGAGGTTAGCGGTGGAGTGCGGGAAATATCCCGTGAGGTACTTGAACCGGGCCGTGAGATTGAGGGTACGGTTGCGGCGGTTGCAAAACGCCAGCGAGAGGGGGACGGTGGTGTGTTGAGGAGGGAAGGTAGTGATGTTATGGTGACTGATCTTTCAAAAAACTTGTTTACGGCGGGTGCTGGTTCCCAGTCCCGCCCATCATCATGAGTACATTGAGTTGGAACTGTCGTGGCTTGGGTAATCCATGAACAGTTCATGAAATTGTGGACATGGTGTCCAGTAAGAAACCCGACTTTGTATTTTTAATGGAAACTATGGTTGGCCGGGATCACGCAGAGCGACTCCGGGTGAAACTTGGTTTCGATGGCCTTTTTAATGTTGACAGTACAGGTACGAAACGAGGTTTGGCGTTATTGTGGAGAACGAATGGTACGACGAGTTTATTGAGCTACTCTAAAAATGATGTGGATATAGAGGTGACTATGCCAAGCTTTGACAAGTGGAGAATGACAGGGTATTACGGTTTTGCACAGAGGGGAAAACGAAACGACTCTTGGGAACTCATCAGATCTTTATCGCCCCGCTCTGAGTTACCATTGGTTGTTATAGGGGATTTTAATGATCTCCTATACCAGTATGAGAAACGGGGGGAGGGGAGGGGGGGGGGGGGGGGAAATCCCCATCCGGAGGCACTATTACGTGGCTTTGGGGACACCATTAATGAGTGTGGCTTGGCTCAGTTGCCTATGCAAGGGTACCCATTTACCTGGGAAAGGGGAGAAGGGACTGTGGACTGGATTGAGGAGAGGTTGGATAAGGTGTTAGTCACCCAGGAGTGGCGGGATGTGGTAAGAGAGGCCAGTGTTTTGAACATTCTGACCCGACGCTCAGATCATTCTGCTCTTTTCCTTGGGATTCTGAATCTTCGGAAAAGGACGGGTGGTGGGAGGAGAGGGTTCCATTTTGAGATGGCCTAGCTGCATGATGAGGGTTGTAGAGGTGTGGTCGAGACAACATGGACCGAGGGGAGGGATAGAGGTTTACAGGCCTGTATCGAGCTGTGCGGCAACAAATTATCACGGTGGGGGGGTGATAAGTTCCACAAGTTTGAAGAGCAAATTAAGTGTCTCCGTAAAGAGCAGTTGTGGTTGCGTGGACGTACAGACCAGGTATCATTAGCTGAATATCAGTGACTGGAAGAACGCCTTGCCCAACTAGAAATTCAGGAGTATGCATTTTGGAGGCAAAGGGTGAAACAACACTAGCTAAAGGGGGCAGATGCGAACACGAAATTCTATCATAGGTATGCCTCTCATCGTAAAAAGAAAAATACACTCTCTAAAATTATGAATGATAATGGGGATTGGGTGGAGGGAGAGGCCATGATGACTATTACTTTTTATTATTATCAAGATATTTTTTCATCAAATCAAGCCGAAATGGATGAAAATTTTTATGCCAATGTCTTGCCCCGAGTATCACAAACACAGAATAATGCCCTATTGCGCCCGTTTGAAAAGGTCGAAGTAAAAGCGACACTGTTTGCCATGTTTCCGGACAAGGCACCTGGCCCGGATAGAATGAATCTGGGTTTTTATCAGCATTTTTGGGATGTGGTGGGAGGGGATGTGTCGGATTTTATTGTGGATTGTCTAAATACGCGGTCCTTTCTGACCAGTTTGAATGATATTGATATAGTTCTAATACCGAAGAAGAAGAACCCAGAGCAGGTCTTAGATCTTAGGCCCATAGCGTTAAGTAATGTGATATACAGGGTCATGGCCAAGATGATTACGGCCAGAATGAAACTATTAATGGATGAGATTATTTCTGATACACAGAGTGCATTTATACCTGACAGATTGATTACAGATAATATTTTGATTGCTGCAGAAGTTGGTCATTATTTAAACAGGAAACAATGTGGTATGGTGGGGTGGGGTGCTTTAAAGCTGGATATGGCAAAAGCATATAACCGTATGGAGTGGCCCTTCCTGCGTAATATGTTAACAGCATTGGGTTTTGATAATACATGGGTGAATCTTATCATGCTAAGCGTAACTACTGTGTCTTATAATATCAAGTTGAATGGATCTCGAAGTTTACCTATTACCCCGACCCGCGGGCTTATACAAGGAGATCCCTTGTTTCCATATCTGTTTATTATTTGTGCAGAAGGGCTCTCTTTGCTATTGCAACAAGCACAGGCTCAGGGAACAATTCATGGGTGCAGGGTTGCAAGGGGTGCACCCTCTATTTCTCATTTGTTTTTTGTTGATGACAGTTTATTATTCTTTAAAGCAAATACATAGGAGGTAAATGCAGTTAAGCAGTGTTTGACACGGTATGAAAATTTGTCTGGCCAGGTGGTAAATTATCATAAATCTAGCATATGCTACAGTAAGAACACGCAAGGGGAGGATAGGGATGATGTGGCACAGATTCTGGGGGTTGCCCAGACACCTAATTTTGAGAAATATTTGGGGCTTCCCTCGTTTGTAGGAAGAAATAAAAAGACAGCCTTTTCATATATTGAGGATAAGATTAGACAAAGAATTGTTTCCTGGAATAAAAAATTGTTATCGCAGGCTGGTAAGGAAGTCTTATTGAAGAGTGTGGCTCAAGCTATGCCTACTTTTTCAATGAGTGTTTTCTTGCTACCTATGGGGATTTGTACAGCTATTGAGCGAACTATGAACCGGTATTGGTGGGGTCTGGGAACGATCGTGAGATCCATTGGATGGCCTGGGACAAATTGTGTATACCGAAGAAGTATGGTGGTTTGGGTTTCAAAGAATTGCATGCATTTAACATAGCAATGTTGGGTATGCAGGCATGGCGATTTCTGTCTAAACCTGACTCGTTGGTTTCAAGAGTCTATAAAGCTAGGTACTACCCGAAGGGAACTTTTTATGATGCAAATATAGGAAATAACCCTAGTTTCTGTTGGCGCAGTATTATGGCAGCTCATGACATGGTTTGTGGTGGTGTCAGAGACAGAATTGGAAATGGGAAAACAAACCTAATCTGGGATCACCCCTGGCTGCAGGACAAGCAGAACCCAATGATCCATACGGATAAGCCCCCGTACTTAAATGATGCAACCGTTATGGGATTAATAGATCATGAGACACAAACTTGGGACACGGATATTTTGGCAGATATTTTTACTTTTTAGTCCTACTGATGTAGCTCGAATAAGGAAGATTCCAATATCACCAGATTATGAGGATATGTGGTATTGGCATGGAGACCAAGGAGGTAACTATACTGTGAAAAGTGGCTACAGGGCGGTTGTGGGTGACCTCAATGACAATATGGGTAATGATGAATCCTCCCCACTACAACAAATTTGATTATAAAGAGAGTGGAAATACAACCAACATGTGCTATGTGTGGGGTGATGAATGAAGACACAATGCATGCCTTAGTAACATGTGATTATGCAAGTTCCATTTGGGCCCAATCTCACCTTCCAATCCCCATGATAACAACAAATATTTTTCATACTTGGTTTAGTCATCTATTGAATATTTTAGACACTGGTCAGATTATTCACGCAGCTGCAATCTTATATTACATTTGGAAAGCCAGAAACGGAGCGGTATGGGATGAATGTCTACCACGACCACGAAAAATACTTGCTTTGGCCAAAACCACGGTACTTGCATGGCAACACACCCACCCGAACCAGCGCCATGCGCCCCAGCAGGCTGTCGCACAGCAGCACGGTACTGCTACTGCCGAGCTACAACTGCAGCAGCAAGAGGGCGCTGCCGAGGCCGAGATCACTGCTGAGAACGAGATTGCGCAGCCGGACCACTACACGCCAATGCGAAAATGTTATTTCGACGCTGGTTTTTCGCCCACCACTGGAAAAGCCACGGTAGGCGCAGTCTTGATCAGCGAGGAAGGGGAATATATCTTGGCATTCAGTGCACCCTTGTCGGATTGCTTCTCCCCACTTATGGCCGAAGCGCTAGCATGCAAAGAAGTCTTGTCTTGGTTATGGAATCGTGGGGAACGATCTATACGCTTGTTCACGGATTGTTTAACATTAAAGGAATACCTGTCAGACGCACTTCGGACATACGTTGGCTATGCCATTGATGCTTGCAGAGCACGCATTGTCTCATTTAATTACTGCCCAGTTATTTTTATTCCTAGATCGGAGAACTATTTAGCTCATAGTTTAGTTGCTTCTTCTTTTATTTATTCTACTGTTATGTATTCGGACGATGTCCCTCCAGACTCTATTTCAGAATACTTTGAATAAATGCCATACCGGCCACCTTTCAAAAAAAAATATATATATAGTAAATAATAAAAGAAAAATAAAATCAATGTGAATTCGGTCGTGATGAGGGTGATGATGAAGTACTAGCTTTCTCACTCTCAAGAGCATTTAATCTTTGGTGCATAAAAACCAAGCCTTTAAATTTTCAATCTCATATAAGACCTTTGCAGAATTAGCATTCTCTGATGGCTGCGAGGTTGATTCTATATTGTCCGATGTGTTAGCATTTATTGGACTACGAATGAATGTACCAGATGAGCAAAGTCCATGAACTATTCTTTTTTATCATGTCCGCCAACTGCATCATAGTACAATTGACTCTCATCTACTTCTTCTCCATTCTGTGTTAATACCTCACGTTGCAATGCAATTTGTTCCTGCAAAAATTAAAAAATTAGTACAATTTTTATAAAAATTTATATACATTCGAAGGAAATCAAGATAAATAAATTTACATGGATTTGTTTGTCTTTTTCATTTATAAATGTTTGGCCATCATGTTTTTTGGTATGTGTATGTTTGAATAATTCAAAATATGATGGACGGCGACCAAATTGTTTTTCCTAAAAATTTGTTAAAATAGAAACAAAATAAAATAAAAATTAAAACAAATAAGATTATAATATATATAATAAAAATATTTCAAACATCAACTCAATAAGAAAAATATAATATAGTCGCACTTTTATCACAATAGTGTCAATAAAAGTTTCTACCAACATAAAAATACATAATTAACAGAAAGCGATAAATAATCTCACAGTTTCACCGCGTGTCCTAAGATTCTTATATCCTGAGAACTTAAACACCTAGGCCTCGTTTGGTTCGCGGAAAATATTTTAAGGGAAGTGGAATTGGAATTCCATGGAAAAACAATTACTAGGAAGATGAATTTCATTGTTTGGTTGGT